TATTTTCTGGTCGACATGACTAGGCGAACAAGTGTGAGGACCATACCAGAGTGTTAAGTAAAATTATTAACATATAACCAATGTATCAAAAGTAAAACATCGGAATGGCACATATCAGAATAATATGTTAAATAATTAATGAATTTATGTGTGAATTTACAGTGGGTACGGAAAGTATTCAGACCCCCTTCAATTTTTCACTCTTTGTTATATTGCAGCCATTTGCTAAAATCCCTGAGTGTTAAGTAAAATGATTAACATAACCAATATATCAAAAGTAAAACCTCAGAATGGCACATATTAGAATAATATGTTAAATAATTAGTGAATTTATGTGTCTGTAAAGTTGATGTTATTGTGAAAATACAATTAATTTTCAGCTCTGTTGATGGTGTATAATTTGTAGTAAAATAATAATGTAAAACCGAAAATAATTTAACTGAACACTATTTCAGGTATTTGGCGTCACAGTCTGGAGGCGACCTGCTTCTCAACGACGTATTTATCACGTGTCTGTGGAGGCGACCTGCTTCTCAACGACGTACTTATCACGCGTCTCTGGAGGCGACCTGCTTCTCAACGACGTACTTATCACGCGTCTGTGGAGGCGACGTACTTCTCAACGACGTACTTATCACGCGTCTGTGGAGGCGACCTGCTTCTCAACGACGTAGTACTTATCACGCGTCTGTGGAGGCGACGTACTTCTCAACGACGTACTTATCACGCGTCTGTGGAGGCGACCTGCTTCTCAACGACGTACTTATCACGCGTCTGTGGAGGCGACCTGCTTCTCAACGACGTACTTATCACGCGTCTGTGGAGGCGACCTGCTTCTCAACGACGTACTTATCACGCGTCTGTGGAGGCGACCTGCTTCTCAACGACGTACTTATCACGCGTCTGTGGAGGCGACCTGCTTCTCAACGACGTACTTATCACGCGTCTGTGGAGGCGACCTGCTTCTCAATCTCAATGGACGTGACATCTGCGTCTGACTTATAACTGACTTTTTTTTCACAAAAATGAACCTAAACTCAGCGAATACTTGCCTCATATACATGACAAACATATCTATAAAATGCTTTAAATTACTACTTTAAAACGAAATAATTCAAATCGAAAACAAAAACTTAAAGCACAAATAAGTGTATGGAATGTGCTGGAAACCCTTGCAGCAAACACAGACCTCATGTTCAGGCAGACGAACAGTAAGGACAGTGCAGAACAGTGCAAGGACAGAACAGTGGCAGACGCAGACGTCACGTTCAGTGAGGCGAGTGCGTGTTGCAACGTCATGTTAAAGAATCCGTCCCAACGCCATAAAGCTATAGTAGTAACCTAGGGAGGTTGCTGCTTGGTCTCTCCTCGCACTCAAAGTGTGCGTGTGCACTTGCAAAGAGAAAATAATCACTTCATTCATCCGTTGATTTAAGTGAATAAAATAGCCAATTGACAGCGTTAATAATAATAAAAAAGTAATAAAAGTAACCTAATAATAATAATAGGCCAAATAATAATAAGAATGTAACAGGCTTAACGTTACTTTAAATAAAAATGTCAAATACTCTTGATATTGCCAATATTTGATGCGTATATTGATACAATATCTCTGGCTATCGTCGATACAAGATCATGCATCGCAACACGAAGAGGTTATATGCCCAGCGTGCCTGTCCGCTACGCCACTGGTTAAGAGTTAACGTTAGTCAGATAATAAAATGAACAGGGTGGGTGAGAGAGAGTGGGGTATGTAAGGGTGGGCGTGTTTCTACCTCAAAAAGTTTCTCTGGCACCAGATCGTGGTCGCGCAGCTGAGTGAGGAGTCTGTGCGGTTCTTCTATGCACGAAATCTCCGTCTTTTTCCGGTGGAAGAAAAACAGCAACTCTTTATTCGTTTTAAAGTCTAACGGGTCCATTTGGCCGCGGACGCTATAGAAGAATGGAAGACTTTGTATATACTTGACACGGGGACTACACAAACAGAAATAGTTGTTTGCAAAAATCTCGCCTGTATCTGATAGCCTGGTTTATAAAGTGAAAAGAATGCGGAAGTTGTGTACCAAAAGCGTAAACCTGTTACAGAATTGGATTTCCGCCAACCGGATCTTTCGATTGGTTTCTTTCAAAACAACTACAAACAGTAGGGCGCGTAGCTATATTATAGGCACCCCGGTTCGACGTTTTATTAGGATGTTAATCGTAATTTCATGTGTTCCAGTTCTGTTAGATATACAGATGCGAATGCTGATATTAAATTTAACTTCTGACTGAAGAGGTTTTATTGAAATGTAGGCTATTAGCCTAAACCATGGTTCGATCAACCTTGTGTTTTGATAAAACTGCCATACAAGTTTTCTAGTAGGCTACGTTTTATTTATAATAACATGCTATATGCCTACGTTTAAGTTGTTGTTTTTTTTCCTGAAGTAGGCCTATATGTTAATTATAATGTTTCCCCGTCAGACAAATACATTTGTAAACACTGTTTAACCAATTCATTAGCCTATAGATCCTATTCAAAAGAACGAATCCGACATCACCACAGCTGAACCGAGCAGGCACAGCTTTATGCAGAACTCGGTAAATATACATTGTTATCAATCCCCTAAGTGATCTACTTCTTAACGTGGTTTTTGTGGCGTTTGTATTCATATTGTTTTCAGAGTTTGTATTCAGTTGTTCTTTTGTCCACCAGAGGACGCAAATTATCCAGAATAAAGTGTTGAAAATAAAATCATGGCTCGACTGTCCAAGTTTGTTCAATTACAGTGTAAAAAAATATGAATACAAAAAGTGATGTTTTTAAAACATTTTAAACATTTTTTAATTTTTTTAAAGGAACACATTTAAAGTAAAATATTGTTAAAATTAAGCTTTGAGAAAAAAAATCAAGTAGGCCTAGTAGTAAACTCCAGGAAAACATCTTGGAGCGCTACTTGCTGAAAGGACTTCCGTTTAATAATCCAAGAAGGTGCTCTTTGGTTGGGTTCAAAATCATATCTATAGAAAATATGGATCCAAGGCACTTCTTCTGGTTCCAAAATGTTAAAAAACCTTTATTCAAACATGGCTCGCTCTAGAAACATTAAAAAGTGACAAACACTGCACACTGATGAGGAAGGCTGGATGGCTGAAATGCATCAGTGTGTAGCGTTTTAGTCACTTTTTAATGTTTCTAGAGTGAGCCATGTTTGTATAAAGGCTTTTTAACATTTTGGAACTGGAAGAAGTGCCTTGGATCCGTATTTTCTATAGTAAGCAAACTCGTTAGATTCTCTTATTTTTGTTATCGGTTAGCCTATCTCGTATCGGTTTAGAGTCTCTAATATTGATAGTGTTTAACAATGTACCGTTTAAGCAATGACACGTTATTATCAATGTATTTTATAATAACAGGTTATATGATTTATTACATTAAATCATATATTATTATAATCATATAATATATTTTAACATGAGTAGTAATATACAGTCACCAAAATGCTGCTTGTGAAATTGTCACTCTTCACAGAACCCAAAATGTCTGTTTTGGAGAATGACAAACTAAAATATTAAAGATGAAGAAGGAACGAGTAGTACATCTGAGTCACTTTCAGTCCCCCTGGAACTGTATGTTGAAAAGATAGTTTACTTATCCTCATATCGTTCCAAATCTTTGTGACTTCTTTCTTCTAACACAAAAGAAGAAATTTTGAGTGAATTCTCTGTAAGAGTGCAAAGCTTGAAAAATACTTTCCGTAAGACTGAAATTACCTCAAAATCTGAAATCACAGGAAACAATAACACATATCAACATGAAAATGTCTGTCTCCACATCCTGCCCCTCTTCCTTCTCTTTACCTTGCATTAAATCACTCAAATGACCCAGAATAGTACCATGTTAATTTAAGAAATAGATTTTCTTCAAATTTGTGTAGAATGCAGAAATCACTTGGTTTGATATTTTATATCTAATTCAATGACATTACAACACAACATAGCAATCAGTGAAGACAGACCTGACAGATGTATGTGGGCTCAATAATAAATATCATAAGATACACCTTCTGCAATTATGTATTAGGGTTTTGTAACAAAACCCTGCATTGGTGGCAGGTGCTACATTTTCTCTCTGTTTTGGTATTTATATGTATTTATTACTCATGGTCTTGTGCCTTATGTAAGCATTTCCCATGTGCACTGTATTCCCAGTCTTCTGAAGCCATACTTGGCAACAAGAGTTTCTTGCAAGATATCTTAGACATTAGCACTGTTAGTTTTCATCTCATTTGCATATCCACATAATCAAATGCCACCTGAGAACCAAGCATACATTTCATTATCATTTAATGTTTTTTTGAATAAAATCTATTCAAATGTTTGCAAGTAAGATTTTTTTTTACGGTAGCCATTGACCTCCATAGTATTTTTTTTTCTCCATACTATGGAAGTCAGTGACTACCATCAACCATTTGCTTACCAACATTCCTGTTGTGTTCATCAACTCATACAGGTTTGGAAAAGCTTGAGGGTGAGTAAATGATGACAGACTTTTCATTTTGGGTGAACTATCCTTTTCAGTGAACTGTCCCTTTAAATGCAAATATTAATTCCGTCTGAGTTGGTAACACATCATATAAGAATCAAACTGGAGACGGCAGGCACGCTTTTAAGGAAACATGAGCACACACAAGTGCACAGGCTTGACGTCAGAAATCCTGGATTTAACAAAAACATACGCACATGATCAGGCCATACGCAGACCAGCTCCAGCCTAAAGCCAGAGCTCTGCTTATCTCCAAAGATCCTTTACATAACATGCAGCGGTTGTAAAAGAAGACACACATGAAACCAGCTTTTTAAAGCAGTGGTCAACTGGCAGGAGTGGATTTGACATGTCTTTATTATCCCCAAAGTGCGGAGCGCCGCCGCAGACACCATCCACCGCAATGACCGCATCATTAAATCAGCGGCTCGCTGCCGCACGCAAAGAGGCCGATCCCCAGCGTAAAATCATGAACGTGTGGCTTTTGCATTTCCACATACACAACTCAACTCCAGTTACACAACAGATGCAAATGTACCCTAAAGCGCAAACAAACCAAATTACAGAGATGTTACTAATTAATCAAGTGCACTCTGAAAGTATGAAAAGAGCAAAGCTATGTTTGAAATCGTAGACTATTCTATGATGTGATTAGTATGCAAACTTGCATGAAATGGCAGAATCAAAATGTGCAGTATCCAATGGCTATGTTTGAAATAAAGTAGGCCTACTAAATTACTACTTAGTGTATGCAGCCTACTTTTAAAAAATGTATGATCAGAATAACATTACATTGCTGCAGTACTGTATATTGTATAGCCTGCTGTGTAAAGTATGCAAAGAATACCTGATCAACCTACTATATTTGTCTAAAAGAGCAGTATACAAAGGAGTTTACGGTGTAGACAGAAGTTACAGAGGCATTTTTTACATTCATTTTTCCTATAGGGATTTTTAAAAAGTCTTTGTTAAGCATTAAAGCATTAGGATAAAGGAGGTTTAGCTATAAAGCAAGCCAACCACTGCATGAGGAATGACAATCAAATTAAAATGATGGTGAAATATAAAACTATTAATTTAAAGTTGTTAGTTATATCTATAGAAACAATATATTTTAATTTTTTTTTGCAAAATATGCATACATTTATACACAAATATTTCATTGTTTTAAAGGCATAGGGAAACAGCTATTTCATCATTTCATAGGAGCGGGACATTTTCTGCAGTGCCCTTTTGGAGCAATTTGCTCACAGCGACTCTGATTGGTGAATTTTCTGCACAGCCTCATGGGTAATGTAGTTTTTGACCATGAATTCTGCTGATAACATGGTTATTTAAAAAATAAGTTGGAATATTGCAAAAAAAATAAATAAAATGGCTTCAACAATAGTATGTACCAGAGCTCACAACAGGTCTGTCTTTAAAGGTCTCTCAGTTATCATTAAAAATTTCCATACTGAGAAAATAAATTGAAATTTGACATCTGGAACCAGACTGTTTCACTCTACACTGCATGGAATACGGTATCCTACAATGCAGTGCGCTTGATGTGAACTTCTGTTTCCAGTGTGATAAACTGGAAACAATATCAGTCATGATTTTCCTTCCTGACTAATCTGATCTGATCCATTTCATCTTTCGTTGATGCATATTTCTGTGTTAAACGTTTATAACTGCATAGTTTCACTTTTTTTTTTTTTTATAGCAGGCATGATTCAGTTTATCATTATGCCGTTCCATTGCAAATACCGCCAGAGCATTAAATTATGCATGTATGCAAATAAATAAGGAACAAAATGGCTTGTTAAAATTCACTAAAATATGACACATTTCCATATTTATCTGTTCCGCAAACCCAATTTTTTGCATATTATTTACCTCAATTTGACAAAGCATCACACATTACAATCCTTTGCAGCATTTTCAAGACAACAGCCTGCTGTTTCACTCATAAATACACAACAGCATCCTGCCATCCTGTTTAATACTGTATGTGTCAAGAGGCTAGACGTCAAGCTCAGGGACAGACTATTAAATATTCATCCCCTTCCCTTTTTCTACTCTTTTTCTTGTACATTATGTTAATAATTCTTCTCGTCTGTCAATACTCTCTCCATTTATTCATCTTCCACATGGACTGTTGGTCTGTTATTTGGAATTCAGACGGAACTGCTGAGGTTGAGGAAGCATCTGGAATCTGACAGTTCCCTTTCTATTCGGTCACTCTACATTGCTATGGGAATTACCCTTTCCTCCAAATACTACTGAAGCCTTATTGAATCACGCCAGTGAAACTGGCCGATGGCATTCAAGCGCGTGAAATATGAGGAGCTCCCACTCTATATAAAGCAGTGCTTGTACGTCATCCATTCAGAATCTTTTCCTTCAGCCAACCTTCTACAAGATGCAAGAAGCCTATCATCAAGAGTACTCACCGTGATCTACACGCTGCAGTGGACACGCCTTCTCTCCCCTGCTGTGTTCCGGTGAGCTTCGGACAAGGATGACCTCTC